TATAAATATATTAAAAAATTTTTATATACAACTAAATACTTGGTGCTCTTAGTATTTCAAAGAAATGCAAGATACAAAGACTTAATTGTGTATACTATATAACAATAAGAGTTAATACTTATCTAAATTATACATGAGGCTGTAAACTGCCACAGGGAGTCTTGACACTTTCGTACATTTAAGATTTCCAAGTTGCGCGCTAGCGTAATCGCGATCGAGATCCACGTTCGGGATCCGCCTAAATCACCCGGCTCGCTCGCCCCGCCCTACCCTCCTCCACGGGATCCTGCTATCCGCGGGATCTCGGATCACGATCGATCGGGGCGAATCGATACACGAGGCAAGTACTACTCGGGCAAGTATACCCGCGGAACTCGACTAATAGAGTTCGGGCCCTTGACAGCGATATTTCACGAGAACGAGAAGAGGAATGGCCGCGGACGGACGCGCCGGTGTGTGGTCCAGCACGTCCGAGTGGACGGCGATTAGCCCCGGGCCCTCTAATCCCTCCCTCACTCCCCCGTCCCGCTGGTTTTACCCTCCGGGACCAGGCTCCTTCCTCCTGCACACGCAGCCTCTTCCTCTTTCCCGCTCGAAGCTCATACTCTCATGCATCTACGTATCATCGCGTGTACACGCGTGTGTTGTGTTCGTGTGTGCTTTGTCTGTGTGAGCGTTTTGTAGGTGTGTGTATGTACGCTCGTGCGCCTCCTCGGGTGTCGTGTTACGTGCTAAGCGGTACGGCCGAATGGTAACCGAGACGCGGACTGCACACACCGGACCCATTGTTCCCGGGGCCTCCCTACGTCTGCTCCCGCAGTCACCACGTTCCCTTGTCCACCCCCGCTTATATAGTCACACTCTTCGGACTCGAGAATGGGTCTTTTGGTCGATTTGCCCTTCGCCATCTCACCGTCTCTCTTGATTCGATCGGATATCAATACTATAGTACGCGATAGAATATTGCAGTCACCGGATGTTACCATTGCATTTTACACGGAATATACGGCGGTCTTAATATTTTGACAAAGGCGGGCATCATCTGGTTATTAAAAAAAAAATTTTTTTACTAATTTTATTCAAAAATATCCTGTAAATGAAGAATTTATTAATATATTTTGTTAAGCTTTTATATTATAGAAATACTTATTATATTTCACTGTTCAATGTTACATACATTTTCATCTTCAATACTTAAGTATAAATCATTGTGCAAAACTATGTTGTTATTATCCAAAGTTATATCATGATGTAAAAACTTTATTTCTTTCATTATTGCAAAAAAGTCGATCTAGCTTAATTTTTTTATAGTTAGTTCATTTTTCGAATTAAAAAAATTAAGCTAGATCGGCTTTTTTGCAATAATGGAAGAAATAAAGTTTTTACATCATGATATAACTTTGGATAATAACAACATAATTTTGCACAATGATTTATTCCAAAAGTATGCTATACAGTTTATAATATTTCTTGAAATTATTTCAAATATCCTAACTTCGCCCACATCTAAATAAGACATACCACGCACAGAACCTTAATAAAGATATAGAATAGTTAAAGATCTTGCTGGAATCATTGCGATTAAGTTCCTTCTGGCAAACCTCATTTCTCGCAACTCTCTTATTTTTTGTGGACCGGGTCTCGCACAGTCACGGTGGTTTTGTCTCGCCCTCACACCATGGTTTTACGACTTTACGAGTCGGGACTCTCGTCGTCGACGTGCCGACTCGCAACTACCGAACGAAGGTTGACCCTTCTCTCCTTGACTGGGTGTCGCCTGCCCTGGTGACCTCCGGGGTAACTAGACCCGCGAGAGTCAGCCCCCCGACTTCAGTCCATGGAGACAGAATCATTACGGGTGCCGTTCGGGATTGAATTGTATGGTCCCGACGACGTCGGTCGCGCTGATGAAGTGCTTCACGCCGAATGTCCCACGAATGACAATTATTCGATACAATCAACAATTTTCTATGAGATAATTTTTTAGTTATAATAATAATCATAATTTTTTAATTATGTTTCTTTTTTTGACACATTTCATCTGTTAATTGTATTCGTAATCTGTGTAGATTTTATTATATAAGATTATTTCTTACAACAATTAACTTATGATTATTTTATTGTATTATTTTCTGACTATTTCTTACAACGATTAAACTTATGTACGTACAAGTGTACATATTTATACGAGAGTGTGGACTGAAGAGAGTGCGACCTAAAGTTCTAAGGACGGATAACAAATATGTTCCGGAACCTTTTTATTATGCACGCCCCTAAATTATTTCATGCACGAAATGCTGAGTTATCGAACGCCAGTTATGAATAAAGGCTTCTTCGTATATTTCGACGGACGCTGCTTCGCGGAACTGGATGATCGATAAGAGGTATTATTCGTGGGCGGCCCGTGCTCAAATTATCTGGCAGGATACTAGTATCAAGTTGTCTCTCAACCACTTGACTTTCGAGAAGCGCGAAGAACCGGCAGCCATTCATCGACGCTGCCTTTGTCAAGATTTGAGATCAAGTAGACAACGAAACTTTTGGCGAATTATTTAATCTAGAAAGATGTTAAAAATATGCAGAAGGCACATTTTTCCTTACTGTTTAACCTACATTATACTTTTAGTTTTAACAAAAAGTGAACGCTTTTCCTATAATGTTCTCTCTAAATAAAATGTTGATTAAATTAGACTGATAACTTGACTTTTGCATCATTAGATATTCATAAAAATTATGGTTCATTGTTTTATCCTTTCTAAAATTATTAAAGTTTTATTACATTATCATTACAAGCTGACGCTAGTTATTCGTGTGTATAATACGACTTTAATTTACTCCTCTTAATTAGTTTTTAGATATGTTAAGAATTCGTTGGGTGCTCCAATAGTAGGTTGGTCCAAAGTTAAAATAGTAATAAATATTTGAAACAGTTAAAACAATATATTTAAGAGAGTCACTGATGTGTGGGCACATTAGATTCGTGAGAAAAATATAGAAAATAGTCTTTCTTTAAGTTCTATGGATTTATAAAAGCCGCAGAGAAGACGATGCGAAAGAAGTATCATATGTAACTAGTTAAGAAGTCAAACGAGTGTAAAACTCAACTAACGAAGCGGATTATTGATTTGAGATTTGCTAATCGAACAAAATGAAGTCTACCTAGCGTCAAACCGATTCGACTCGTTCGCTTTAAATGGCGGAAAACGACTGGGACTCCTTCAGGCCACGCTAAGTCGAGAATCCATCAAGCATTCGTTCCTACGGTCTTTGCGCAATCGATCTTACCTCGCCGGGCTTGAAATCGAAAGCAATTACGAAGCGCCGCCTCGCACCTCGGATTCGCGATATCGTAATGAAGCCTTAATAATTGAGATAGACCGGCCGATAATCGGCGTGTCCCTACACACCGCTCCCGCGCGTAATCACGAAAGTAGGAAGTGACTCGCCGTGATTCTGCGCGCGCAATGAGACTTGGTCGTTAATTATCGTCGACGTAAAGGGAGAGAGAGAAAGAGAGAGAGAGAGAGAGAGAGAGAGAGAGAGAGAGAGAGAGAGAGAGAGAAAGAGAGAGAGAGGAAGGGAGGGAGGGAAAGAGAAAGAAAGAGATACAGAATGACCCTCTCACCATTCGCGACGCGTTTTCATCCATGATCAGCCAATAATCCGCTCGTTAGCGTTTCTGCCGCGATAGTAACGAAGCAATGAAGGCGCGTCCGCGCACAATCGCGCGTAATTAACCCTAATTAAGCCCGTGCCTAACGCACGAAATCATCCATCACATTTGTTGCTTTGGGGGAGAAAGAGATACTCGCGATCGTCGTTGCCCTTCTTTCTCACTCTTACCTCACCTCGTGCGTACGTCTCTCTATGAGAGGAAAGCTCATCTTAATTACTCGCCATTCTCTCTCTGTCTTGTCTCTTTGTCGACTCTGTGTCCGTGAAGGAATCTCATTGATTTACTCCCTTTTAAGTGCTATTAATGCCGATAACGTCGATCGATTAATCAGCCGACCGGCGAGGGCCGCCTCTCTCGCCTTAAGAACGGACGATTTTATCTCGCTCTGTCTCGCGTTCCCGTAGCTTCAGACGATTTATTTGCTCGCCCGGCGCGATCTTTGCCGTTTCGGTCGATTCGCCGCGTGCAGGATCGCGACCTCTCGGTCGCACGATCGCGCGGCCGCTCGATCGGTTTCTCATCTAATCCCGGTGCTGGGCGAGCGCCGATTCCCAGACGACCTGTGTGCTAGATTTTATAAACGAGTCTCTCTTATCTGACTGCCTATTCGATTATTCCGTTAATATTATTAATGATGCGCGACGAGGATTTCTCTCTTACTTAATATCTTCGGCAAAAATACATTTGGATATTGTAGGTAGAAGTACTTCGATTTGTAATATATATTTGAAAAAGGGGTAATAATATTCAAGAATCTGACTTTATATCCTACGTGTCTATAGAAGATGAGAGGCTCCCTATATATAAGTTATTAGTAATTTGAAGTCCTTATTGTTTGTCCTGAAAACTGCCATCTTTCTGATTGACTGAAATATTATAATGCGACGATCTAATACAACTTGTTCTGCATGAAAGTTTTCTAAGATTTATGGCCGGTATTCATAGTCAGTTCTTATATTCAAGACCGTCTTAAGTTCAGTCTTGAGGAGTTACGAACCAATCAGAGGACCGCTTTAGCATCTTTTAAGACATTACTTAAGACAGTCTTGAAATAAGAACCGACTATGAATATCAGCCTTTGACTTGGAATTCTGACTCATTACTAGTGAGATATAAGTACCTCTTGTTACAGAAAGATAATAACAATACAAATCTGCGCAAATCAGTATATGAGAATCATATCTAAACTAAAGTAATCTAAAGAAATTTTTTTCTACTTGCGATGCAAAATTAAAAAAAAAAGAATTAAAAGATCTGTCCTATATCAATTGTATCTCATCCATCTACTTCGTATGCTAACGATACCCTTTGTCCCTTATTTCAGAGATCCTATGGAGATTATGGAACAGCAGTTGATGAGATGCGGCGTACCCTCGGTAAGAATCTACGAGCACCTCGCTATGTCGTCGCAGGCCGTAGCTGTTGCCGCTACGCTGGGTGCTCAGCCACAACAGCCGCAACAGCAACACCATCAGCCATCCGCACAACAACAGCAACAGCACGAGAGCGGTGGACACGCGTTATCGTCCTGGCTGGCGCCAGTATCAACACCGCTCTTATACGGCAGGGGTGCAGCCAGTTCTCCATCACTCTATTCCACCGCCGCTGTTACAGCCACCCCCGGTTTTCCATATACGCCGCTGGCGTGGCCCTGGCAACCACCCTCCGTCGCGATGATCTCGCGACGATCCTCGCCCCCCACCAACCTGAGGTACGTGCCCTATCCAACACCGGCCAGCTCACCCCCGTCGCTACGAGCACGCCCGACCTCCCCCAATTAGCGATCCCCGCTGACGACACGACGACTGCGGCATCATCCCTCTTCCCTCTCTCTGTGATCTGTGGAACCGGCATTGACACCGGAACTGAAATCGAAATTGTCCTGACGCGTTTTTATTTCATCAGGAGCACGATGTGTTGACGAAAAATCGAATCATGAGTGATAATATGAGAGTAAGTGACATCTTGTTGCACTATTATTACAGCGAAGTAAACAAATATAGAATTCAGGATGAAAATGACTATTAATCATAAATAGAATGTAAATTAGAATAAATTGTGCAATTGAAGCAAAGAAACTAAATAGCTTTATATTGTGTAATATTGTTATATGCTCTTTCAAGCCTTTATTAATTTTTCAAGTTGAAAAAATAATATAACAATAATAATTAAGCTTATTTGCTTATCTTAAGGAATTATTATTTAAATATTTTTCTTTGAGGCTTAATTGTTATTTTGATTTTAAGCGAAGTTAAAAACTCCCTCACTTTCTCTTTAAAATCCTGAAAATGAGAGAGAAATATAAAGAGAGAAAAAGAGTTTAAAGCTTTGGTTAAAGTTTAAATAACGTTGGTGTACACATAATGGTTTGAGAAAGACATAAATTTTATTAATTTAATTTATTAAATAGTTTAAAAACAATAATAAACATCAAAGGCGAAACTATTGTAACTAAACCAATAATTCAATTTTAATTTTTCAGGGTTCTGTTAATTATATGTTACAGAGAGTAATTTATGTTAAATATATGTACTCATTTTTGGAACATAATGTTTGGCATAAATGTACCTTCCTTGTTCATTACTAACTTTTAGAATTATTGTCATGTTACAAATTATAATTTTATTATGTTGTTTATTAATAATATATTAATAGTTTCGTTAATAGTGTAAAGGATGTTATTATACATTTTTAGGCTAAAATTTTTTTGGAGAAGAGCTAAATATTAATCGAACCTATGATTTCTTTTTGATACCTTATATTCTTTATGATGTCACTTACAATTAGTCCTATATCACGTATATACAAGGAAATAATAGAAAATGATGTCGCAGTATGTCGTTTGTGACTGCGAGCTTAAAGCGTGTGTGATGTCTTCAACGTTCGTGGTTTTCCTTAGCACACAGGTGCAACCAAAGAGAACTATCCCTAGCGTCAGTGTGTAATTAAACAGATTAACACACTGAGGATGCGTGTGTGTGATGTGTGTATGTGTATGTTTACCGCGTAGATATTTATATAATATAATATATAAATGTAATCTATGTATACATGTCGTTCCATTAATGTGCACAGGACGAACGTATAATATCGATGGCAGCTGCACTGTTAGATATCAAAGGAGCAATGGTAACACACAATTCCTTGAGTTAAATAACTATTCATTATTTTTAACTTTTATGTGTGTAAAAGTTTGAATTCATTTACATGATTACTTTCAAAGTAAATGTCGTTCACATTAACGTGTGCATGTAGTAAATAATAATTAAATTTTATATTCAAATTTAATAAATATATATTTTCTTAATTTAAATTGTTTAACTCCATTATTTTATCAAATTAACGATATATTGGATAGAAGCAGCGATCTACAAAATATATACTCAAATTGAGTATAATTTGACATAATAAATTTAACAGTGTGAAGTTTTGTATTAACAACACGGACTATTCAAAAATATTCAAATACGTGCAATGGAACTAGGCATCATGAAAAGTTACAGGGTATCGAACATGAAACTTTTTCTCTAGGATGAAAAGTGAAAAGTGAAAAATTTCTCCATTAACTTCAATGATAAAAATTTTCACTTTTCATTTTCCATCCTAGGAAAAAAGTTTCATGATCGGTACCCAAGAACTGGATATGCGTGAGGTTATGCATATTCATTCATGTCAAATTTTTAAATATCTCGATATCGGAATGTTTAAGTCCACGCAAGAAGCAATGAAATCATATATTGAGATATCCAAAGGTACGCAGGGAGATATATGCAAGATCTAAGCATTCCGATACTTGAGCATTATAAGATCGAATTTATTCGCAAGAATCGCAAGCGTTTCGATAAATCGCAAAAGTTATGATAAATTTTGACGATTCTCGCTATGAACGGTTTAGTGGCAGAGGTCTCATTCTGGTAAAAATTCTAGATTTTTATATGCGATATAAATTCAAGAATACAGACTCAGGATGTGCCTCGCCTCGTTCACGTAATATTTCATTGTAAAGACTTGCGATCTTCGGATTCTGATTTTCGATCTCAACTTGTAAATATTCTACGCTCATTAAAACGGAAAAGTATCTGTTGTACCGTGACAATTGCGGGTATGTATGTATGTATGTATGTATGTACGTATGCTATACATGTAAATGCGAGGAAGCGTGAAATCGTGCGTGAGAGTACGATTCGGCATAACTGTATTATATACCGCGATAGTATTAACGCACGTCTTATCAAGACGATGCAGGTTTGTACATAAAGGAACATCTTATGGTAGTGAGTAGTACAACTCCGTATTTCCTCGATGTAGCATCACGACGCAAATAAATGAATTTTCATTAACCATCTCCAATCATTCAATCGCCTGTACTCTTTGCGTTTTTTTTTTCAAGGTTTGTCCAAGCCTTCGACGAGGATGAGCTTTTATCGATCTTTCTTCCTATTATTCATATTTTTAGTAATTTTTCGTTTATAAATAAATTATTTATCTTTATCAAGAAATGTCTAATTAAAATTACACATTTTTTTACTCAAATCTTAATAAGCATTATTCTTAAAATATTACAAAAAATTGATATTCTTTTGCAAATTGCATAGTTAAATAATAGCAATATAACAGATAATATTAAATTGTTTTACGTGTTTATGTGTATAGTTTCCTAAAAGTTTTATTTAAATTTTTTTTCTCATTTTTTTATAACGGGTTTTAAACAAAATCGGGATGTAACGTAAACCGATACACCTGTCTGTATAAGACAAACCATAAGCTAATTTAATCTTTATATAATGTTATGTTATAATATCAAATAGTTTTTTCGGCTGAAGACAATCGTGCATTTATAGGAAAATTCCTCCCCGCCCCAAAAAAAGAGAAGCTTATCACATGTTTGTGTCTTGCAGAACATAAAGTATGTATATAAATGAATGAAAAACGTTTTATAGTAACGTTTAATGTTTAACGTTTTTAATGTTTTATTTTAGTAACGTTTTAACGATTTTTAAAAATTCTTTTTACGTTTTAACGTTTTATACGTTTTTTAGTATTTATTTATGTTTCTCCAGTTTTATTTTTAATCTTTGTTCAGAAAATACTGTCCAAAGATAAAGTGTTATGTCAATATCAGTGACCTTTTTCTATAATAAAATTCGTCACAATTAATTATTAATTATTAAATATGTATTAATTTGATGTAAAATTCTACGAATATTTATTTAACGGATAACACTTTTATTATTTACATTTTGTATATCACGTAAGGAAAATTATTAGTAGTAGTAGGATTATCTTCTTTGATCAAATTCTCACACCGCAAAAGGACATAATCAGTTTTATCATGTCTGTCTTTTATCAATCAAGGAATCGTGGAATTTCGTACAATTTAGATTCATTTCGCGGACGATTCAAGAGTAGAGCCGCGCATTTCTCCCGTCACCTATTCTTTCTCCTCCCAATGTACGTCCTTGTCGCGCCACCCAAGCTTCATCGTACCTTCAACTGCCGTGTAATTCTGTTATACCTATCTGAAATTAAATAAATTCATTTCACGGCCTGTCAGCGAGCAATTATTCTCAGATGCGGCCGCTTTAAGGGCTCGGTTCGTTCCATGACTAACACCTTTTCTCACTCTCATTCCCTCTCTCTTCCTCTTGTTCCTTCTCTCTGTCACTCGAACCCTCAGTTCAGCATCGGGAGCATGTCGCTATCGCCGTATCGTATTGTACAGTCCTCGTCATTGCGACGGTCGCTTCACGTCGCGTCGTTGGGCGCGTCGGGTCGCTGCACTGCAACTGTTTCGCGCGATCGAGCGCAGCCGCGACGACATGAGGTGCCCTTTAACCCTCGCTTAAACGCGAAGCGAAATATGAAGCGTCAAATCAGATGCCAATAACAAAAACACACATTGTTTTATAATATAGGTATATGAGATGACACTTTCAGCCATAACAGGTAACTCAATTACAAAAAGGAAACAACGCGATCTAATTAATTGACAATAAAGTGCATTACGTATAATTTTCGTTTCCGTGTTAGCATATTATATTTCATTGCATAACTGAATTATATAGAATATTTAAAATATTACTAAAAATATCCAGCTTCAATAATTAAAAACTATGATAAATTTATCACTAAAAAGACAAGGTCGCACCTGCAAAAATAACGATCTCGGTATATCTTTCTTGGAACTTGATAAAAACAGACAAATCTAAAATCCTCACTAATCACGGAGAATAGCTTAATAATACCTTTGTTTTATTCGGAAAAACAAGAAAACCAAGGTTGAACATCTAAATTGCACGCGCAGGGCTAGGCGTTCACCAATTACTCCGAAGACATTCAACGAGTACTCGAGAGAGTCTTTTAAGGACCCGTTGAGTCAGCGACGGAGGACGCGGCGGCTAGATATAAGGCATCCACGGTCGGAAGAAACGCGAAAGGAGCAGAAGACGGCGGAAAAGAAGAAGAAGAAGAAGAAGAAGACAACGGAGGTTTCACCGGGGCGCGAAAGCGATCGTGTGTTACGTCGTGATGGGTGGAGCGAGGTGAGAGAAACAGAGAGGCGGCTCCCGAGCTTGTAATTATGTTGATACGAATGATCTGCGGCTCGCCGCAGACCGACGAAGAGCAACAGGAGAAGAGGTGGAGAAGAAGGCGAAGAAGAAAAGGAAGGATACGAGTAGAAGAAAGAGAAGAAAGAAAAGGAGAAGAGAGGGTGAAGCCTCTAGCAATGCTCACCGGCTGCTCTGTACGTACCTCCCATTTCTTCTTTCTTTTTCTCGCT